GAAGAGACAGGGAGATAGTACTACAGGACTACTCCATCCAGTGAAGGGACTGATTAAATACTGCTCTTTAGCACTGATAAGAGTTTGTACTTGAACAGGAACAGTCAGAAAGAGATTGAAAGTAAATGTGGCTTTAGAGCCTTTTATAACTGCATTTTACTGGAACCTCTGGGTACAGAGTTATCCTTTAGTATCATAATTTACATTTTGGTTTTGCTTTCTACATTTTATGCTTTCAGCTCTTAATTGTGAAAACACCCCACCCTCATATCTCCCTTGGGGAACAAAAAAAACCAAACACTGGGGGCTTTTTTTTCCATTGTGTATTCTGTTTCATGACAAATAGACCAAGGCCTTGATTGCTTTAGATTTTGAACCTCAGACAGAGTTGTGGATTATTTCAAATTATTTTGTACATACACAATGTTAAACCATTCCAGGGGAAGTTTCCATTACGTTCTGTCCTTTCCCTGTCTCTCTCCCCTTTGGTGACATTTTAGTCATTGAAGAGGAAACAGATTAACCGATGACCACATTTTCCTGTTTTTACAGTTCTTGGTAGTGAGCCACCCTGGGGGACATTCAAGGCAATCTTGTCGGTCTGAGTGCCAGTAAGAGGAAGGCAACACTCAGAATTGCAGCAAGAAGCTTCTTCATCCCTCGAGTAGGGGAAGCAAACTAGAGGAGAAATTGAGCTGCTTGGTAAAGATTTCTGCTGGCCTAGCTATGCTGGTCAGGGTGCAGTGAGGTGCGGGCTCTGCCCCATGTAGCCCCTACTCTAGATGCAGTTATACTAGGGAAACTCTTCTGCCAGTACAACTAGAGGAAGCTGGCTATACTGGGCCACTTTGCTTGTAGAGGTTGTGTCTACACCAGTGGCTCTCAACCTTTTAGAGTCGAGACCTGTCTCAGAAAATACCAGCTTTTGGTTTTCCCTTGTTTTTTGACTGTGGAAAAGTAAGAGAGTAATTCTTCTGTTGCAAAAACCTCAGGAAAAACCTGGCAAATCAGCATGTTTTAACACTGTAGATTCCTAGGTGAAATCTCTGGGCTGTGAATCATGTTTGCACACCTCGGTGCTTGCATAACTCCCTTGTACAAGGAAGGATCCTGCACTAGGTGCTGCTGGGTTCTTACTCTCAGAAGGCTAAACGGGGGCACGGCTAGGGGGGCACAGTGAGCTCCTGCAGGTGGTGGTGGCAGTGGCCTGTCAGCGGCAAGCAAGGAGCTCCTGCAGGCAGCCACGGTGGTGTTGGCGGTGGGCCGAGCAGGGAGCTCCCGCAGGCCGCTGTGGTGGTGTCCGTGGTGGGCCGAGCGGGCAGCTCCCGCAGGAGGTGGTGTTAGGCCAAGAGATGAGCTCCCGTAGGTGGTGTCACTGGTAGGCCGAGGGGGAGCTCCCGCAGGCGACTGTGGCAGTGCCTGTGTTGGGCTGAGCGGAGAGCTCCAGCAGGCGGTGTCAGTGTTAGGCCAAGAGATGAGCTCCCGCAGGCGGTGTTGGTGGCAAGACCAGCAGGGAGCTCCCACAGGCGGCGGTGGCGGTGTCAGTGTTGGGCCGAGTGAGGAGCTCCCGCAGGCGGTGTTGCCGGCAGGCCCAGCGGGGAGCTCCGGCAGGCGGCCGTGGCGGTGGCGGGCCGAGGGGAGAGCTCCCATAGGTGGTAGGCCGGGGAGAGAGGTGTTGGTGCTGGGTCAAGCAAGGAGCTCCCACAGGTGGCGTTGGCAGCGAGGGGCGGTGGGGCTGCGCGCTGAAAAACAGGGGACATAAAGGCGTCTGGTAGAGAACAGAGGACCAGAAGCGCGGGCCGTCCTCTACCCAACCGGACGGGGGGCCGCCCTTGGAAGAATGCGACCTGTTGACTGCTGGGCCGCTGGAAGTGCCGTCGGGAAGGGCCTCCCCTGCGGCCAGCAGCCCCCTCAGCTGGGCACTAGGGCAGGATGCGGCCCAGCCGGAGGCCGCGGACCCCACGTCAGGGCCACAGGCGCGTGGGGGGGGGGCGGGGGCGGGCGC